AGACGAAAAGATTTTTTCTAAGTTGGTTGTTTTTGTTTTTTTTTTTTCCGAAAAAAAAAAAATTCCCGGAAATTTTTTTTTTTTTTTTTTTTGGAAAAGATTTTCTGCTATTGATTTTAAATGACAAAAGATGTCGCCATGTGGTTTAATAATAATTTTTATGAAAAAAAATTTTTTGAAATTCAATCTAAATGACGTCAAATAAATTTGGATTTCAATGATGGAAATTAAACGGAAAAAAAAGAAAATTTTTTGAAAAAACCAACCAACAAAATATATTGGTCAAACAAACATGACGGCATAGGAAATGATGTTATTTGATGTTTTTCGCTCGAAAACGAAAAACAAAAAACGAAAAAACCTTTCGATTTTCGATGGAAATCTTGTTTTTCCAAACAAAACAAAAAAATCAAATAATGTCATCACGTAACTTTTTGGGATTCAAATTTCACTTACTTTAGATTATTATTTCATTATAAGTTAATTACAAATAACTATAATGATTTTTGGTAATAATGATGATGATGATAATGATCTTAATAATTACGATGATGATGATGATTATGATTATGAGATCAGACTTACACCTTAAACGTAAACGTAAACGTAAACAAACAAACACACCATACACTTAATTTATTTAAATAATAACATCGGACATCGACATTAAACAATCATTATCAACAGCAGCGATGATGATGATGATTTTTGAAATACGATGATGAATCAGCCGTAGAATTTCTACCTTGTTTTGTCAGAAATTGATTGAAAAATGTTGATTAATAGAAGGATTATCATGGAAAGGTTGATTTGAATTGCATGTGTGTGTATGTTTGGTGTTTATGAGTGAATAATGATGATGTGATGTGATGTGATGTGATGATCCAAACCGAACAAGATGCAAACTACTAAACATACAAAACACAGAAAACAAACCAGAAAGAAAAACACATGTAAAAAAATGAGAGAGAGAAAAAACACTCATTACATCGACAGACATTGATTATTATGACGATTGTAGTGTTGCGTGGGTGGATGGATGGATGGATGGATAAATTTTTTGATATCAAAAAACAAAAAAAAACAAAAAATTGTAATACATTGTGTCTATATAGTGGAAATATCAAATAATCAAATTTGTATTTTGCCTGGTTGTTGTTTGTTTGTTTGTTGTGACACATATCATAATCAATTATTTTTATCGTATACTTGTAAAACGTTACTTCTTCTGTTTTCTGTTTTGTTGATTGCATAGATTTATACGCTGTAAATGTATATAATGCATATCCTTCGAATAGAATTGATAGAGTTTAGGGTTTGGCTGATGTTAGTGATGTTGCTAGCGGTTCAGTTTGATTTGGTTGGTTACTGAACTGGGATACTGAATTATTTTTATTTTTCTGTTTCATAAAAATTCTGTTAGTTTTTCAACCAACAAAATAAACAAAACAAAAAAATTCCAATTCAATAATCAATCACATCTGTACGTATACGAATCCAGTGAATATAAATATTTACTCAATGTAAAAATGAAAATAACCGGTACCGGGTTTTTTTTTCTTCTTTGGCTACATTAATGCTGTCGGATTCATTTTGGTTGCATTTTGATTAGTCATCATCATCATCATCATCGATAGCAGTATTTTTATTTGATGATGATGATGATAATATCCAGAAGTAGAGATACTATACAGAACCATAGATTAATTTATTGCACATGCGTAACACATACTAGTGTGATTACAATCAATCAATCAAAAAAAAAAGAAAAGAATTACAGAAAATCCTGACCATCTGTTCTGGGTACAGATATTCTACATTCGAAATCAAACAAAATTCAAATAGAGAGAGAGAGAATCGATCCATAAAATTGCAATTTTTGTTTCACAGTCACTCCTTACTACCACTACTAAAATAATTTGAAAAATTCAGGAAAAACTAAATGAAAAAAATGTCAAATCAAAATTATTAGTTAATCATCATCATCATCATCGAAATATTTGATGATTATTATCATTTATTTATTTGAGAGAAAAACAAAAAATAATGTATCTGTTCAATGATAATGATGTGCGAGGTGTGTATGTGTTAATATCGATCGAGTGTGATGGATGTTTTTATTTTTAGCTTTTGTAGTTTTTGTATTTTTAATTTTTTTATTTTTGATTCGAAATAAACATGCGCACTTCTTTTTTTGAATTTTTTTTTTGTTCGCTACATTGCAATTAGGCGTGGCACGTGTCTGGTCGAATACCGTCGATAACGATGATGATTATCATTCGACTTGTAGCTTGTTGGTTGCAACAAAAAAAAATTGCATCAAAATTTTGAAATTCTTATCGGAAAAAAAAAGTATTTTGGTTTTCCAGATTGCCGGATAAAAAAAAATCCCAGAATGTAGAATTTTCGTTTTTGGTTTGTTTGTTGAATTCCCGGATTTCCCATTCTGGTAATCGGTAATTTTTTCGGGAATTCGTATACAAGTAAAGAAGTTGCACCCGCTAACAATTTTCTTCAAAATTATGATTTCAGTGAGAATCTTGATCGATAGATGGCGATATCGTTTCTTTTTTTCAAAAAAAAATATCCATTTTTCAAACAGCAACCGAGAATCAAGAATCAAGAACAAAACCCAGTAAAGATTTTGTTGTTGTTGTTGCTTAGTTTTGGTTGAATTTGATCAACTTCTTCTATGTTTTATCAGTCAATTCACGTATTCACAACAACAAAAAATGAATTGTCTATTTGCCTATCTATTTTTTTCCATGTTGATTTAGTTGTTTTGTTTTGTTTTGGTTCGATTGAATAGAGTGAATAAAAATGGATGAATAGTACACCAAATGGAGGATATTTTACACTTGACTAAATCTTTTTTTGGATTCGGATATTTTTTTTTTCTCCCCATTTTAACCAGAAAAACGCACGCATGCATTTTTTTTCTCGCTTTACCAAAAGCAAACCAGAAAAACATCTCTTTATTGATCCAGAAGTGTATCCAGAGTGTTATATTTATTTATTTTTGGATAAAAATTCTAGTTTATAACCATAATTCTATAACATATTTGATCCAAATATTTTTTTGGGTTTTGTTTCTTAATAATATTATATTTTCATTATGGATCTATGAACAAATCAAACCAGAGAAAAGAAAAAGAACCAGAAAAAAACCCATTTCTTTCTAGCATATAGTTCAGAAGAATTTCCTTATTAGTCTGTTTTCGTATGTCCAGAATCAGAATCAGAACTACAAACAGAAAAAAAAATCATATTCTCCAATCCAATTTGAATCAAATGAATGAAAAAAGAAATATCGCCCGAATCGACCATAGAATTTCAAACATACACACACACACAGAGAAAAATTCATTGATGCATGCAATAAAAACCGAAAACCAAAAAAGAAAAGGAAAAAAAATTGTATAATTAATTTATCTTTGTGTAAAAAAATATCCGGTATGTTTTTATTCAGCAGTTTTTTTTTATTTTGCATCGCCATTTCGTTATTCATTGTTTAATGTCGGGAAATTTTCTTCGGAAACCGAGTTTCCTTCTACACTATTTATTTTCGGGAAAATTTTCTCTTTCAAAAATTCATTTTTTTTCTTTCATCATCATTGAATTTACCTTTTCTTTTTTCTTTTTTTTCTGTTTGTTTGTTTGTTGTTTGGTAAAACAACCACAACGAAAAATTCGTGCAATGAATTTTTAATTGAATCATCATATCAGTCGGAAAACCTCAATCGTCATCGACATTTGACAAAACCAGAAATGAAAAAATACTGAAAAAAAACTCAAAATAAAAAACGAAATTTACATTTTAAATGAACAAACATACATCGTGTATCGTTGTTTTTGTTGTTGTTCAACAAAAAGCACATGCATAGAATTTTTTTTCATTCAAAAATGTGTGGTTTGAGAATGAATGAGTGAAAAAATTCAAGTTTTTCAGAAAAAAATTTCTTAAACCAAGCGAAAAAAAATGTTGATAAAAATGATAAAAAAACCCTTTTTTTCAATGAAAAAGAAAGAAGAAATTCAAGGAAGAAAGAAAAAATTCCCCAAAGAAACCCAGAGAAAAGATGTTTAGAAAACCATTGAACAAGAATCCTGAATTCTGATCCACAAAGGAAAAATTCTACTTTTGATCCAAACCAAACAACTACTAATCAAAAACATCAAAATATCATTCATTTGATTCAATTCATTTTTGTATACACACACACATACACACACACAACAGAATTCTGTTGATGATTCTGATGATGATGATGATAATTCAATCCTGGCGGCAAATATTATTAAATTATGTTTTTCATGTTCATTGAATTTTCTCTTTTTTTTCGCATTCTATTTGTATATTTGTTTGGTTTGGTTGTTTTTCTGGATTCAGCCGAAAAAAACTCAAATGTTGTTGTTGTTGTTGTTGTTGATAATGAAATTTTCTCATTTTTTTTGGCAGGCAACTGTGATTTTTTTACCCGAAATTCTGGCTTTTTTGCATTTGAAATATTCCTTGAATCCTTTTTTTTGTTGCTTGAATTCTATTCTATGAATTGAAAGATTTTTTGGAAAGAGCGAGAAAAAAAAAACTTTATAAAAATGATAATTTGGACAACAACAACAAGTTTTTTTCTCCATTCTTTTCTTTCAAGTTTAGTTGAATTTGGGTACTGCTAACTGGCTTAATTTGATATAATCTCTTATGTAAATCTTATGTTCTCATTACACCATTGGCTATTTTTGAAACAAGAAAAAATACAAAAAAAAAATCCAAAGTTTTTTTTTCGCCCCAATAGATTTTTACATGAAAAACATGAAAAAACATACTTTACACTTGTTAAGAGAATTTTATGTTTTTCGTTTTTTCGTTTTTCGTTCAAAAACATAATTCAATTATCACCAATCATCAATTCATTCATTTTTTTGCTAACCCAGAACCATGTAATACTTACTTAAATATATTTACATATTTCCATCCCTTTTTTTTCGTTCTGGATAAATATGTTTCGCAAAAAACAAAAAAAGAAAAGAAAATCTTTAAATCCAGAACAAAGCAAAAATGTTAATCAATTCAATTCAATACCGTTGTGATTGAATGAATGAATGGTTGCTGATGCTGATTTCGATGATGATGATGTTAATCAAATTTTATCAAAATGTAACGCCTTTTGTTTGTCATTTGGATTTACGTTTTTCGTTTTGGCGAGATACAAATAAAAACACCCCTCAGAAACAAACAAAACAACAGTTTTAGTTCATTCATTTCAATGAGAAACAAACAAACATAGAATACTAAACACACAGAACACAAAGAAAAAAAAATCATGTAATACATATGTCCCGAAGGGATGTTTTTTTTATTTTATTTGTTATCATTAATATAATCCTCTCTCTCTCTCTCTCTCTCTTTCTCTTTTTACAATTGAGTACATGTTTTTCTCGCCATATTACTCGACAACTTGTAATCGGATCAATAAAAAAATTCAAATAATTTTTCCTTTTGTCCATTTGTTCATTCATTCATTCATTCAGTATTTTGTTATGGATCACCTTGCTGGTGAAATCCATATATATGGAAAATTTGAATGCCATTTTTTTTGTTTTCTGAAAATCAAAATTATTTCATTTAAATAACTTAATCATCAATGAAAAGTTTTTTTTATTTTCAAAATTTTTTTTTTATTTATTTGATTTGGCTTTTTTTCCATGTGAAACAAAGAGGGGCGTTTTTGTATGTTTGTTAGTTGTGTGTGTGTGGGTGTAAATAGTTTGCCTATTTTAATAATTCTGATTAATAATTCTGGCTACTATTGCATAGGTGTGTTGATGTAGGTGATGAGGTGTAAGTAGACATAAAAATTCTGTAATTCTTCGGGATTAAAACATCTCACTTATACAGGTAAAATGAATTTTTTTTTTATATTTTTCAATTATGATTATTTGATCCATTTTTTGATGTTATCGTTATTGATGGTGATGATGGTGACGTTGTTGTTGTTGATGATGATGATGATGATGATGATACTGATGATGTTGATGATGATAAATGTTCGGATAATGATTCTGAATGACATAGATTTGTTGTTATTGTTGTTATTGGTGGTGGTGGTGGTGGTGTTGGTGTTGTTACATGACTAGCTGTAATTAAATTTCCATTTGTTATCATTGATAATGTTGGTGATGATATTGTTGATGTTGTTGATATAGCCGATTTATTCCATAATGTAACTTTATTAATACAATCAACTGTTGAAATTAATGTATTATCATTTGTTATTGTTGATATTAAACCATTTTGACTATTTTGACTATTTGTTGATGATGATGATGATGTTGTTGTTGTTGTACCTGGTGACCATAAACCATTACCATTTGATTGTTGTTGTTGATGTTGTTGTTGAATCACCGGATGTTGTTGATGCGGAAGATGTGAATGATGATGCGGATGATGATGATTTGTTTGAGATGAATGTGATAATGATGGATGAGAAGGATGAGAATGTGAATGAGGTGAATGATGTGATACTGTTGATTTATTCATAAATTTTTTCTGTCTTGCACGTGAATTTTGAAACCAAACCTGTGTAACACGTTTAGATAATCCGGTTAATGTTGCAATACGTTCTAAATCTTGTCCATCTGGATTTGAATCTTGTTGAAAATTGGCCTGTAATACTGATAATTGATCTTCAGTAAATGTTGTTCGTACACGTTTTGTTTTTGAATTATTTGTATTTGAATGATTTGAATTATTTGAATGATTTAAATTATTTGTTGAACTTGATGATGATGATAGACTAGAATGACTACGTTTATTATTTAATGTTGTTGTTGTTGTTGTTGTGGTTGATGTCGGTGTTGATTGATTTGTTGAAGAAGGAACAATATTTGTTATATTATCATTAGTTGTTATTATTGTTAATGATTGTTGTTGTTGTTGTAGATGTCTATTTTGATTATGAAGATGATGATGACTATTTACACCTAAATTATTATTTGATGTGTTAGCAGTGATGGTGGTGGTGGTAGTTTTTTGTATTTTCATTGATTCGATCGGATTTGGATCATTATTATCATTAATCGACGGTGATTTATTGATTATTGATGGCTGTTGTTGTTGCGAATGAATTGATTGTGGCTGTGTTTCAATCGTAATCGTCGATGATAATGATGATAATGAACCACGATTCTGATGATGTCGACGTTGATGATGATTATGATTATGATTATGATTATCAAATTGTTGTTGTCGTTGTCGATGATGATGATTATGATGATCATTATCATCATCCATTCGCATTGGTTTATTCAACGATTCATCTGAATTTTTTGAACAAAATTTTTTTTGTTAAATTTATAATTTTATAATTTTAAAATAAGAAACAAAAATCCTTACCTTCTTTAATACCAAAATGTAATTTACAAACTAAACGATAACTAAGTTGTTGTTGTTGTTGTTGATTATTAATCAAAGTTGTTTGTGATGAATTTGAATTTATTGAATTTGGTGGTGATAATAATAATGATGATGGTTGTTGTTGTTGTTTTTCTAATGTAAATTTTTCACCAGTTGATAATTGTCGTTGACAAAGATCACATGCAAAACAAGCTAAATGATAAACAAGTAAACCGGCACGACGTACCCAATCATTTGATGATATAATACGATCACATTTTGAACATTTTATTATTAATTTACAATTATCATCTTTACAATAAATACGACCATTACGTATATAACAAGAACGTGATTGACTTAATTGTCGTCCACATTTTGTACAGCTTGATCAATGATGATGATAAAATCAAACAAAAAAACAGAAAAAGAATAGAACAAAAATCATATAAATTGAGATAATATTGGATCGAAATAGTGGCAAATAAAGATAACAAAAAAAACATACCAAAGACAATTTATATGCCAATTATGATAACCGGAAACAGAGGCAATGATTGGTGATGTTGAAAGTGTTTGTTGACAACCAAAACATATCTAGATAAAATTCACAATCGATACAATCGATAATTGAAAAACGAAAAATAGAAATAAAATTAATTCATCTTTAGGTCAATTGGGATTACTGAATAAAATGAAAAAAAAAGTGGAAAAAAGAATACATCTTAACATCATCAATTGAATTGACCAATGGTCATTTCATTTTCGTTTTCCTCATTATTATCACCATCGATTCTGTTGACATTCTGTTCTTTTGTTACTATTAATTTGTATCAGTTTTTTTCCTCGTTCAATTCTCTCGCCCACGCATTTCTTTCTGTTTTTCCTCTCCGGTCAGTCTATTTTTTTTTGTTTTTTTTTTGTTTACTTGATTGTCATCCAATAAAAAAAATAGGAAAATTTCTACGAAATACGTGTCAACACGTTTCTAGAACGTGTTTTCAGTAAAAATTTCTCGTTGATGGACGTTTTTTGTTTGAGAAAAAAAACAAAAATTTGCCAATCGATTTTCATTTCTTTTATTCGAACAACAGATCTTAACGAAAAAAAAAACAGAAACAGAAAATGTCTAGCCTGAATTCATTGAAGAAAATGTCAGCAACAAAAGCAAGACAAAAAACAAAAAACAATAAATAAAGTCATAAACAATTTTTCGGATCGTTTGGTTTACTTCTTCTGCCCAAAAAATGAACAAGGAACAAACCCCAAATCAATACAGGAGACAAACCAAAAGGCAAATGAAACAACAACAATTTTTTACAATAACCGGTGATGATTGAGAGAGAGCGATATATTGAAAAATTTTGAAAAAATTTTTGAAAACAAAACAAAACAAAAAAAAAGTTGTTGTTGTTGTCACAAAGTCATAAATATCCCGAGAAAACAACAACAACAACTCTAGCAGTAAAAAAGTCTCCATTTCATTCATTCAATGTTTATTGATTTTTTCTATTTCTATTTCGTTCGTTTTTCAGTTTAAATATTTATTATCCTATCCATTTACAACAACAACAACAAAAATGTCAAGAAGCCTTCATCTTTTGGTTGACAATTTTTCTTTTTACCATTTTTNCAATTTATATGCCAATTATGATAACCGGAAACAGAGGCAATGATTGGTGATGTTGAAAGTGTTTGTTGACAACCAAAACATATCTATTGAACAAAAAATAAAAATAACAATCGATACAATCGATAATTGAAAAAAGGAAAAATAGAAATAAAATTAATTCATCTTTAGGTCAATTGGGATTACTGAATAAAATGAAAAAAAAGTGAAAAAAATACATCTTAACATCATCATCATTTGAATGACCAATGGTCATTTTATTTTAGTTTTCCTTATTATTATCACCATCAATTCTGTTGACATTCTGTTCTTTTGTGTTGCTGTTAATTTGTATCAGTTTTTTTTTCTGGTTCATTTCAATTCTATCGCCCACGCATTTCTTTCTGTGTTCCTCTCCGGTCAGTCTATTTATTTCTTTACTTGATTGTCATCCGACAAATATTGGAAAATTTCTACGAAATACGTGTCAACACGTTTCTTGAACGTGTTTTCAGAAAAAATTTCTCTTGATGGACGTTTTTTTGTTTGAAAAGAAAAAAAAATTTGCCAATCGATTTTCATTTCTTTTATATTCAATATATATTCGAACAACAGATCTTAACGAAAAAAAAAAAAAAAAAGAAACAGAAAATGTCTAGCCTGAATTCATTGAAGAAAATGTCAGCAACAAAGCAAAACAAAAACAAAAACAATAATAAGTAAAGTCATAAACAATTTTTCGGATCGTTTGGTTTACTTCTTCTGCCCAAAAAGAAAAAAAAAAAGAAACAAACCCAAATAAATACAGGAGACAACCGAACAACAATAATAATGATTTTTTGTTTTACAATAACCGGTGATGATTGAGAGAGAGAGAGAGAGAGAGAGCGATATATTGAAAAAATTTTTGAAAACAAAACAAAACAAAACAAAAAAAGTTGTTGTTGTTGTCACAAAGTCATAAATATCCCGAGAAAAAACCAACAACAACAACTCTAGCAGTAAAAAGTCTCCATTTCATTCATTCATTCAATGTTTATTGATTTCTTTCGTTCGTTTTTTTCAGTTCAAATATTTATTATCCTATCCATTTACAACAACAACAACAAAAATGTCAAGAAGCCTT